ACTCTCCTCTCCCGAGTGGTGAAGACACTTGAGGCCTTGTTACTCCCGTCATTCACTCACCAGTCTAGCAGACCATCAGCATGGCTTCCGAAAAGTGCACAGCACCACCACAGCTCTTAGCGTCATAAACGCCCAGATAGTTCATGGCCTGAACCAGAAGCCACCCTGCGAGAGGACGATCCTCGCAGCGTTGGACTTGTCAAAAGCTTTTGACACAGTCAATCACACAACGCTACTTGAGGACCTAGGACAATCAACGATCCCTCCAGGGCTGAAGTAGTGGACTATGAACTACCTGAGCGGTCGGCATTCATCCATACTGTTTCGAGGTCAAAACTCCAAACTTAGAAAAATTAAACAGGGACCAGCGGGAATTTCAGTGACCTCGTACGCTGATTACTGCACGATATTGACGTTGGGCAATGGAATCGATGGCATGTACTCAAAAGTAAACAGCTACCTCTCCGATCTGTCTCGCTTCTTCTCTGCAAGGAGCCTAGATTAGATTATATAGTGATTGAGGTATGCACCGCGACCTATGGTCTATTGTGCCCTCCCCTAAGTCACAGCGACTCATCTAGCCCTAGCGTATTGATGAACTCCAATATACTGCTAGGCGCTAGTGAGGCGATGCAATCCCTGTTTGGAAACATGGATCCCAGGGCCTTGACTCTACGTCTGCAGACTGCTGTGCAGTCCACTAGTAGGTGTTCTGGGGTTTCCGACTCCATGTCGCAGAACCGGCAGTTTGCAGAGGAGACCAAGCCCATGTTAAATAAATGCTTGTTAAGCCTGCAATGTCCGGTGTAGAACCCGACCAGAAGTCGAAATTTGTTCCTCGGGAGATTGATTACGGTTTTAAAACGTCTGAGGTTATAGCTCCCCAGTAGCAACTTGGCATGGCGCATGCCTTGGAGGTGTTGCCAGTGTCTCTCCCTGCCTGCTCTTTCCTCTCTACGGAGGAGCTCCTTAATGGTATGTGGACCCACCGCTACGTACGGTTCTGGTCCTACCATGTTTGTAGAGGCTACAGAGCGGGCCAACTCGTCAGCAAGTTCATTTCCTGCTATACCCCTGTGACCAGGCACCCAGATGAGGTGCACACTGTTGAAACTTGATAGGCTGTTCAGCCGTTCTATACACTCCTGCACTAGTAGCGATTTGACCTCAAAAGCCGAGATTGCTTTAAGTGCTGCCTGACTATCGCTGAGTATGGCGATGCTCTTATTGCGATAGTCGCGTTGGATGTTTATTTCTACACACCGACTTATAGCATATACCTCCGCCTGGAATGGAGAGCTTGGTGCGTGGTCCTGCGACCCCTGCGCCAATCCCCTCCGCCGTTTTCGAGCCGTCGGTGTACCACTTGATAGTACTGTTCCTTAGTAGTATTAGTAGTAGGTCCAGCGTGGAATCGCTCCATTCTGCCTTACTGCCAAGGGTAACCCTGAACTTCCTAGTGAAGCTTACTGTTTTGGTAATACTGTCCCTTGGAAGAAGGGCCAGTGGAATTGCGTCACTTAAGGCCTTCATCTGCTGGGACGAGATTACCTTCCCTTTGCCAGACCCTTCTGCTGAAATTTGAAGCAAGGTCTGTTTGGCCGTCTGCTCGATCACTATATGTAGCGGTGTTAGCTCCAGCATTACTTCCAGTGCTGCAGTCGGACACGTACGCATCGCGCCCGACGCGCAGATACAGGCAAGTCGTTGCAGCCTCGATAGTCGAAGTCCTGCCGAGGTCTGCGCTGCTTTGGAACCCCAGGCCACCGCTCCATATGTTATGATCGGTCTAACAATCATGGTGTACAACCATCTGATAGTCTTTGGGTTGCAGCCCCATGATTTCCCAGCAAGTCGATTGCACACCATGAGCGCTTTCGTAGCTTGGGCTGCGGTTAAGTCCACATGCTGCTTCCACCGTAGAGTGGAGTCCAGCGTGAGGCCCAGGTACTTTACCGTTCTGGCCATCTCCAATTCCGTTCCACCTAGGGATAGGCTTCTCTTCTATTCTTTTTCAATTTGTGGACCCACTAGAGGGTCGGTTCCATGAGGAGCTTCTCATCTTCACCGTCCTCCGCGTTACCACCCGCTAGGTCCCTGAGTCCCTCGAGAAGCTCTTGCGTGGAGGGTAGTGCCCCCCCTTGTTCGCCAGCCTTCTCCGTAGGGACCTTCACCATGGTTTCGGCAGTTGCCGCCTGCTCCGCCGTGCTGATGCCAGGATGAGTCGCAATCTCATCTACCAGCATTTTCTCAGCCGCTTCATTTTTGGTGGCCGTCTTAGGCTTAAATGGCCTTAGGACCACCGAACTGAATCTATAATTCAGTCGGAAGCTCGCTCTCCTGACGAGAGATTGAGCTTCCACCCTGAATCCTCGACCGTGCTGGTGACTACTCTCCAGGCCGATATGCTTAGGCCCTCGTTCTGGTTTTGTATGAGCCCGAGAGCAAACTCATATGGCTTACTGCGCATCTGGGGAGGAACACTGTCATGCTGTGCATGGGTGGTATGTCTTCCCCCTTTTTTGCGCAGAGGACGGGGCCCTCCCTTAGCCAGTCGGCAGACCTCTCGTCCTTGCAGTCCACCTGCAACATGCCTCCTTTAAAGTATACTCCATGGAATGAGGCTTTATATCCAGATCCTCTGAATATTTCTTCCATGAGTAGATCTTGGACCACAGTGAGCTCCTCCGACCCCAGTGTCTCCGCCGGGTAATTTAGAGGCAACACAGCCATGCTTTTGAGAGCATCCGCATATCTGCGCTGTCCCTCCACCACTCGGGGGGGGGGTTTTGGGGCGGAGTGGTTGCCTCCGGTCCCCTGTGTATTGCTTCCTTTTTGCCGCTTAGTGTTTGGCGGCTCCTGTGGCGTTAGTTGCCCACTCTTGCGCTTTGCGGCTTGGGTGGTCGAAGGCGCTGCCCTTTCGCAACCCCGCCTTGCGGCCTGAGTTGCGTTAACCGGGCGTTGGCTTCGATTACCGCTGCTCTTTTTGCTGCTCGTCGCGGTATTGCCGCCCTTCCGCTTCTCCGAGGCAGGGGAGGCATTGTTTCCTCTCACCCCGTTGCGCGCCAACTTTTCGGCTTCCTCCGGAGTCTTTCCCTCCTGGAGGTGCCTGAGGTACCATTTGAGGCTGGCACCGCTCATGCCTCTCCTCCTGGGATCGTCCTGTCCACCTGGACTCCCATTTGGTGGTAGAGCGGGTAGTCTCCCCTCTTCCGCTTCCGTTTACGAACCTCCCCGGTTGATGCCCGTTCCGAGTCGCTCGAATCCGAGCAGGTGATCCTGCTCGGTGGAGCCTCTTCGCGGGGTTCGCTTTTTCCTGCTGAGCGCCGCTGCACGAGGGCATGTCGTCATCGTCCTCCCTTGCATGCTCCTCGAACAGCGCCCGCTCTTTTGGCGAAAGGGCGTCCAGGAAGCTAAACTTTTGTTTAGCCCCTGAAGCTCCCTTACCTGCACCGGCACAGGTCTTCTTGGCCTTGTCCGTTTGCTGTTGTTGTTGTCCTTTTGTTTCCATTGTTGAGTTTGTTATTTTTTGTTTTGTTGTCTCCATCTGATTCTTACGAGCTTAGGCTCGACATGGCGAGCCGTCCGGTCTACGTTTTGTGAGGGGAACGCGAAAGTCCACCGCGCCAGAGACCCATGACGCGGTAAGGCCACCGTTACTTTCCAATGCGGCCCGGTGTTGGGAAGGCTCCGTTAGAATACAGCCATATTAACCTCCTGGCTGCAAATCATCCAATGGGCACGGGAGTCGCATAACACCCTGGATTAGGAGGTGGCAGCTCTTGGTTGTCGCACGCATGCGGCTTCTGACAACCCGTGTGAGAGGTGCTAGGCAGCACTTCTCGCAATGGTGGGGAGATGCCGAGAATGCCTTGCGACCTAAGCCCCTGCACCACGGCAAGGTGCCTGCCATTCACAAGGAACCTAACACTCTCCCCTACTAAATCCACAGCGACCATCTTCACAAATTGGACGAAGGAGTACAGACTGGACCTGAACATTTCAGTCAAGGCACAAAAATTCCGAAAGTTAATAACCCTAAAATTTTAGGCGTCACATTGGACAGTCTGTGTTACTTCACTCCTCACACGACCGCGATAACTGCCAAAGTACAGAGCCGCAACAAAATCCTCAAGTCACTTTCCGGCAGCTCTTGGGGAAAAGATAAAGAAACGTTGTTTCCAACATACAAGGTAATCGGCCGGCCGGTCCTAAACTACTCATCACCAATTTGGTCGCCTGGATGTAGTGCAAGGCAGACGAGGAAGCTTCAGACTTGTCAAAACACTGCACTCCGGACTACCACGGGGTGCCTCTTGATGCCCCCAATTGAACACTTACATAGTGAGGCCCTTATGCTTCCGGTTAAGGAACGTAATGAGCTCCTCTCCAAGCAGTTTGTGCTGGGGTGTTTTCGCAGAAATCACCCCTGCAGTCGCCTGCTTGAAGCGGAACCACCTCCTAGGAACATCAAGAGGTCATTCCTTGATTACGTAGACGACATCGGACAGTACGACGACCGGACATCGGACGTAACGAACTACAGACAAGCACTGACCGCCATTCACAGTGGAGCCATTAACACCTTCATCGACTCCCTCTCAATGAATGGCGTACAAGGAGTCAAACCACCACCTATAGCAGACGTAGAGCTTGAGTTGCCCCGCGAAACCAGAGTGACCCTCGCGCAACTTCGTTCTGGATATTGTAGCAGGTTAAACTCCTACTTATCCAGAATAGACCCCGGCATACCAAACATATGTCCTGCGTGCAATGAGGCCCCGCGTGATACTAACCACCTCTTTGCATGCCCAACAAACCCAACTCATCTAGCACCCTTTTCCCTATGGTCTGACCCCGTCGAAACAGCCCGTTTCTTGGGCCTCCCGTTAGATGACCTCGACGACAACCAAACTATCACTTACCACCTAACCGGGGACTAGATAAACGTTACAACAACAACAAAAATTAATTCCGAATAGTGAAAAAATATTATTATATTATTTAACAGATAATCTTGGGTAGCCAAGACTATCCCTCAGAGGTGTTGTAATCAATAAATAACTGCAAATTACATACATACAAATATCGTTTTAAAAATCCTTATAACAAAGATTTCAGCTGTAAATAAATATCCTGTCTAAAAGGATTTGTTGTAAGCAATTGAAAAGGAAGTGTACGAATTACATCAGGCACATTTTCTTGTAGATCCAATCTACCCGGATGAAACACATGGTGATCTGTGATTCTTTCATAGTCAATGCCTTTATTTATAAGATCAACTAGCTCAGCAAACGAAGGATATTCGCCCATTTCGAGCATAGAAAACCTAAATAAACAACAAAGGGACAAATTTAGTTGAATTTCCTTCAGATTTAAAAGTTTGCCTCACGTAGGGAAATCTTCGCGAAGATGATGTGTTCGCAGCTCGTCCTGAAAATAAATTCGTATTTATTTAGTGAACCGGACATTACTAGCTTCCGAAGGTATATATGTGCATATAGTTCCCAAAATATCCGTTCCTGACTTAAATATTAGAAATGCAAATTTTACAACAAATTCATTAAAAAGTACTTATTTCTTGGAATAACCAAATTCGTTCAAATAAAAAATATATTAATTTTGTTTTTAAGCTTGCCAGTTGCACTAATATGCACATTTTGTAAATAAATTTATTTTAATAACTTAAATTTATATACTAATGAATTTAAATTAAATATATAAACACATAACAAGGCATTAAAGTATTGTCATAACAGTCTATAACATATATTTATACAAGTAACAACTTCTGAAAGGTTCATTCAAGTAAAAATATTTGGTTAATTCTTATGCACATATATAATATTTATACTTATACATGGCTACATTATTTAGAACTGTTCACCTTATCAGATTTTAACCATTGTTCATCGTAAAAAGCAAATCCCCTTTCCACCAACTCTTTGTTAATTTGTAAAACTTCATTTCGATTCGAATCACATAAAACCATGTGAATTATGCGTTTCTATAAATGAATATAGAATTTAGAATTATAGCACCAAAAATAAGTTAATACTACCTTTTCATCGATCTCTGAGACTTGACCATAGAGCATTAACTCGGAAGACAGGTACAAAAAATATTGGATTGATTCCGGGCTCCAGTGATAATTTTTGGGACAAATATGTGACAACGAACCGCGAATAGCTTGCTTTGGTAATCTTGCGAAGGAGGTCAAGAGGAATTTTATTTTGCTAACAGGTACATTCGAAACGGTGCCATAATCTACAAAGAAGACCTGAAAGTAACACCTCTTCCTTAATATTTACAAAAAAAAAATAAAAAATAAGTTTTGTTGTTGTAGTGAATAATATAAAAATTCGGGTTCTTTTCGGGTTACGTAGACTCGACAGTCGTGGGGACGGAATATAATATATAATAATAATAGTAAATACCTTTGCTTTATTCTCAATAACTGAAGCTAAGATTTCTGCCCGATGCCATAGTCCTTTATAGAGAGCAGCACATACTTGGCCAGGACTTATACAAACGCTGGGGATGCCGAATGAATCAGTTTCCAGTGATGTATAAAATCGTCTAAATACATTCAATTTTAAACATAAATTTAAAAAATATAAATAAATTTACTTACTCAATTTGAAGCATTAGATCATCCAATTCATGGTGTTTCTTGTAAATATGAAACCAAAATTTGTAAGGGCTGTGGATCTACGTATGAAATAAAAATTAATATACCAATTACAGAGTGAATTATATAATCATGTATTACTTCTGAGATAAATATGCCAATGATAGAACCTCGTATAATTTGGTCCGATATTTTATAAGTTGGGATTTTCTTACCGAATGTCATAGTATTTTCCGGAAAATCCATTCGGAATACTAGGTTGTTCTGTAAAATCACAAATATGCATAACTTATTACATATGTTTTTACATGTTTATGGTTATGTGCACAAAGTTTTTAAAAATAAAACATAATACATACAGCTGCGAAAGCTGGGACTGCTTCTTCAATGTCATCTATATGTTTGTCATTTTCGATTTTGTTATTTGAAATTTCAATTGTGAATTTTTGTTTTCCATTTTGTACAGTTCTATTCTTTAATGGATGTGGATCAACTTCATTACGTATTTCACACATACCAAAGATTTTCCATAAAACTTCATCTTGCTTGAGTTGTGGTAATGGAGATCTTTCCAAAGTAAAATCTTGTTTTACCTCACATTCTGGAAATGTTTCATGCATTTTATGTATGGGTTTGTTCTTTTGTATAAATGTTTCAGGCGTTTGTAAGGGTTTGTTGATTTCTCCCGCATCAACAGGAAAGCATTCTCCAGAAAATTGTATCGGTTTTTGGTCAACTTTTTTTACTGCAAACTTGGAAGTGTCAAGTGCTTGACACTTTAATACCGTGTTTCGCGGACCACAGCGAGGTATAAAATGACTGAACCGAATGTTGCTTGAAGGAAGAGTTTCACTGCTCACTTTCTTAGAACTTATTTGTACTTTCTGTCCTGCAGAATGTGATGTATCAAAATGAGAAGCCCTTACGGTTATTTTTTTTTGTTTTGTGCACTTTAGTTTATTTCTTGTCTTTTTCTGCTCGCGTACTAACTTGTGTATGTGAGCAGATTTTTCATTCAGAACAATACCGACTGAAGCAGAGGGCCCACTTCCGTAAACCTAAAAATAAATCAAATTTAAAATTCTACCTGAAAGCTTTATATATCCAATAGTTACATTAATTGTATCAGGAATGGAACAAAGGAACGATTCTAATGTTTGGAAACCAAGCTTATGATAAGGTATTCGTTGGCCTTCAATGTTCCTATAGTCCCGATTAAGTTCATCAATGGTAATTGCATTGGGGCACGAAACCACAAGTGATTTAATTACTGCTTTTACTTCTTGCAAATATCCAATCTCCATTTTCTTAGTTTTATTTACAAATAACTTCAGCGCACACATAAAATAAAATTTCTCAAACCCGAAACCAACACATAACTGTAAGCAATTGAGATGAGATAAGCATATTAGAAAAATAAACGATATTATTCGATCGTATTCGAGTGATACCTCTTCATGTAAGAGCCAGTTCATACACAGATTCTTTTGTAACCTAAGCCGATTTGCATGCTTTGTATTCTTGTTCGAAACAGCTCGCTGCTACCCTTATCAGCATTCCTTTTCACTTTCAATTCTTAGATTGATTGGTTTCAAATGAATATATACCATTCGTTCAGAAATTTGAATTCTGTTATCTATTTTTTATATGTAAGATGAAAATTCGTATGCATAGAATAATAGAAATATTTTGAAAATCTGTAAATGAGAAAAAAATTAAGATACTCAAAAATATTCAATTTAAATTTGTAATAACATACAGTGGTATTAAATGTAATAATATAGGAGTATACATTAAGGAATTTTAATAAAAGTTGTAACTTTCCATATTTATATTAACATAAAATTTTAAAATGCTTTCATATAAATTCTTTGCGTTTAGGATATAGTTCGAATATCATGTTATTTAAAACAAGAATTGTCCTTAATTCAAGGATGTTTTATAATAAATAGAAAAAAAAGATTAGAAAATTCCTTTTATAAATATTAGTAGCGGATATTCAATACATTCTGGTGGATTAGGGAATTCTCGACTTAAGTATTTATTTTAAACTATTAAGCGTATATAATGCATATTGTTCTACCACTTTCATGGTAATTCCTTGCCAGCAAAATGTGGGACCACCAACCCAACATACAAATGAAACACTCTAAGTGTCGCGTAGCCGAACCGCACAAACATTTGCAAAAATTTTATGAAAAGGAATGACAAAAAAACTCGATTTGAGTTGAAGAAATCTTTTTGCCCGTGTGAATGCACAAAGCGACACCAAAAGAGAATTTGCCAATAACGAGGGCCAAAAGTGTCCCCATGTAAGCGCAGTATAAAACTGAAGCTACAGAATAACGTAACGTGTATACATACTGTACGGGATTTCTCGATAAATGATCTAACTGAGTTCGATCACTGGATTGTTAAATTAAAGTCCCAATTTAACGTTATACACTTATTTTTATTTATAATTCCAACAACTTAACAGTTATTGCTCGCTATTAGAGTTTACAACTTATTGCTTATAGCTTAATTGCTCTTTACACGGCAACACTCTAATTACATACAGTGCATCACAAAATAAGTATGCAGTGTGTTTATCTGTTTGTCATGCGAAAAAAGCCTTTAAACTAATATTACCACATTTCTGTTATATTTTCAATTATTTCATATTTTTATTAATTCAATAACAAAAAACCCAAACTCAAAGTAATAATTTTTCAAATTACAGAAAAGAATGTTCCAATAATAATATTACGTCACTAAAGTATGTATGCACAAAAAATAAATTGCGAAAAAAAGTTCTAACGGGTTTATTTTTGAGCTTTGACGGTTAATATTTCGTCGGATAGCCTTTGGATTTTTTTATTGCATTCAACTTGGGTGGCATGGACTTTACACGCTTTTGGGCCACTGAAGGTGGAATCTTGCTCCATACTTCCATTAACGCAGCTTTTAAAGATTCTTTGCTGGTTATTTGGTGTCTTCTGATTTTTCTTTCTAAATAATCCCACAAATGCTCGATAGGATTGACATCAGGAGATTGGGGTGGTGTTTTTAATTGTTTGGATGTCTTGTAAAGAAGCCATTCCTTAACAATGCGAGCGGTGTGTTTTGGATCATTATCGTGTTGGAAGACAAATGATTCTTCAAGTCCCAATCTAGCCGCACTTTCGTTCTAATTTGCTTTTAAAATGTTAAGGTAATTATATTTGTTCATTGTATGCGCAATGAACACAAGATTACCTACTCCAAATGCTGCCATTCCAGAAATGTTCGTCTTTGTTTTCGTGCTCCTTCACAAACTTCAATCTTTTTTGTCTGTTAGTATTGCTTGTGAATGGCTTTCTACGGACATTATGACCATGGTAGCCAGCATCATACAGTACTCGACGAATAGTTTCTTGATTGCAGGTTTTACCAGTCTTGTTTTCAATCTCTGTACACACTTTTGGTGCACTCTTCTTTGGGTTTACCTGTATCTTGCGCCGCTAATACGCCGCTCGTTTGCATCAAATATTTTTGATCGCCCGGATATATCCTAATTTCTTGTATTTCTCTCTTTGTTATATTTTTCTATTATTTTTTTCATAGTTCAACTACTTTCATTTGTTATTTATCCAATTTGCCTCTGACTTTTTTGTTCTTTATGTAGTGTTATTATAACATCTTTTAAATCTTGTGATAGCTCTCTTCCACGCGGCGCCATGATCAAAATTTAAATTAAATTACGGCTAAAATTGTATTAAAACTTGTAAATCTTTATATCTTAAAAAAAAAAAAAATTTAATGATTTTTAAGCGAACAAATACTGTGTGCCAGTTGAAAACATACTGAAATCGTAACTTACATACATATTTATGTGACGTGATTTTTGGTTTTTACTGAGAAAATTGAACGGTTCTTAATAACGGGAAATGTGAATAACATCGATCTATCATACTCAAGAACCAGATGTTATGTGTAATTGTTATTGTAAAAAACACGGAAAGTTTAATTTTTATTTTGCAATTGATATGATTTTTTTTACGTACAAACATAGTGCATACTTATTTTTGTTATACGCTGTATCTGTTTGGTGCACAGTCCGGCAGCCGTTATATAGTAGGTATGTAGGTAGGTAAAGTGGCTGTCATTCGACCCACCTAGGCCTTTATGAGGCCCATTGTGATACCACCGGGACTGTGGTCTCCTCACTCTATTGGCTCCTCTCGGAACCACCCTGTGTTTCTGATGAACTTCATCAGTGAGACAAGTCTTATCCGTTCAATCTCCGCGACGTTGTCAAGAAACCCACGACCGAAGGTTGCGATTCTTTTCCTATATAGTGCTGCGCAGTCGCATAAAAGATGTTTAATGATCTCCTCCTCTTCGACTTCGTTATAGCTTCTACAATAGTCGTTATATGGCGTACCAAGTCTACTTGCATGTCTGCCTATTAGACAGTGGCCTGTTAGTACTCCTACTAGAGTTCTTATATCATTCCGCTTGAATTTTAACAATCGGCATGTGCGGCTCATATTTCATTCATGCCACGTTTGTCTGCTAGTTGAGAAAGTCAGGGACTGATTCCACTGACACTCGGCTATGTTAATGACATGTTTGTCGATTAAGTATCTACATGTAGCCAGAGGCATATATATGTCCTCCTTACTAGGATCTAGTTGTAGGGTGGTGCCTGTTCTGGCTAGTTCATCTGCTACACAGTTCCCGGGGATGTCACAGTGTCCTGGGACCCATTGCAGGTTTACCGTGAAATAGGATGTCAGATCCGCTAGAATATCATGGCATTCTTTCACTGTCTTCGACGAAATCCTATGAGACATCAGAGATTTCAAAGCCGCCTGGCTGTCTGTATATACAAATATATTTCTTGTTGTGAGCACACTCCTTGTCAGTACAAGAAGGCTTTCTTTAATTGTGGTGACCTCCGCTTGGAAGACACTGCAGTGGTCTGGTAACCGGAAGGTGATTTTGGTATCTAGTTTAGCCGAGAAGACACCGCCACCTACTCGGTTATCCAGTTTAGAACCATCCGTATAGAAGCTTATCCCTGCTTCCTTGTCCACTACGTCCCTTTCCCACTCCTCTCTGGAGCGGAAGGCAATATTGAGGACCGGATTTAGGTTCAGCTCCATAGGATTGCGAAAATCCGTAGTTATGGGAAGAAACGGGAACTTACTGAGTATCATAGAATGCCCCTTGTTGCTGGCGACTAGTAGGGAGGATTCCCTCAATCTCAGAACTGACTTTGCTGCCATTTGCTTGTAATACAGATTTGTTGGCAGTAAGTGTAAAATTACGTTGAGTGCCTGGCTTGGCGTAGTTCTGAGAGCTCCTCTGATGCAAATACTGGCTGCTCTTTGTATACTTTCCATGTTCCTAATCGCTACTTCTTTTCTGTAACTGGCCACCAAACTAATATACCGTAAGTCATGATCGGCCTTACAATTGTTGTATAGAGCCAGTAAGCTACCCGAGGCCCCATCTGGGCTCCACCATTCTTTTACACGTGTAAAGCGCTGTAGCTGCTTTTTTTACCCTCGCTTCCAAGTTTTGTTTCCAAGAAAGCTTCCTGTCCAAAATAAGTTCCAAGTAGCTTGCTTTATCTCCCATCGTTAGCCTGGTGCCATTTAAAGATGGCGGCGTGATTTTTGGAGTATTGTGTTTCTTAGTGAATCTAGTTCTGTCTTGCTAGCATTTGAATTCAGTACGCATGATACGGCTCATCGATTAATATCGTTTAATATTGTCTGCATAAGGCTAGCCTCTAACCTGCCACATCAACAGCGTAGGACACAACATGTACCCCCCTCTTTTCTAGATCCACAAGCAATTTATTCATTGTCAGGATCCAGAGAAGTGGGGATAACACGCCTCCTTAGGGTGTACCCCTTCGGACAGATATACGCATCGTTTTCCGGAGAGGCTCAGAGATGTCCAGATCTTTAAGCGCGCTCAATATGGCCTTCGGCTGGATGTTATTGAAAGCACCTTCTATGTCTTTGAAGGCTACGAGGGTGTATTCTTTTATCTCCAGAGACTTTTAAATCTCTGCTACCACTGAGCTTAATGCCGTTTCTATGGATTTACCCTTAGAATACGCATGCTGCGAAATTGCCATTTTTCCTGGGCTTAGTTTGCCCCTATATGTATATCTATTAGTCTCTCCAGCGTTTTTAAAAGCAATGATGAAAGAGTGATTGGTCTAAAACCCTTTGGATTAATGTGTGAGCTTTTGCCAGCCTTTGGTATATATATCACCTTGACTTCACTCCATATCGAGGGAATATAGTTTAATTGCAGTGCCTTCTTAATCATGGTTGTTAACCAGCTTATTGTATAGCTCATGGACTGCTGTAACTGAGCCGGGAATAATCCATCTGGTCCCGGCGATTTATAAGGCTTGAAGCTGCCTATCACCCAGTAAACAATACTATCTGACACTATGTCTAGCGGAGGGGACTCTGGGCCCACTTCACTCCCCAGTATATGCTCTCTTATGTGGTTCTCGGAACTGTCTGGGAATGGAGTATCCATTAGTAAGCCTAGAGTCTCTTCACTGGATACCGTCCAGCTGTGGTCTGGCTTCTCAAGGTATCCGATGCTATGTTTCGACTGTGTCATTATTTTTCTAAGTCGAGACGCTTCTGCCGTATTCTCGATGTAATTACAAAAAGATTTCCTCGAATTTCTTTTTGCCTTCCTTACCTCCTTTTTATATGACCGTGGGAGGTTATAATAGTTATCTCTCTCTTCTTCTCTGTGGGATAATTTGGCAAAATTTAATTGCTTCCTGCAATCTTTCTGCATCTTCTTAAGTATAATTTACGTATACCTCTGGCCATTTGCTTAAATAGTCCATGACTACCAACACATATTTGTCTCCTAATTTACTGATAGGAAACATCCATGGCAACTCGCTTAAACGGCGCACCTTCATCGGACCATGACTCCTGGACCTCGGCCCTTTAGCAGCAATGCACTCGACGCAATTAGCGATCCACTCCTTAACTGATTGACGACAACCAATCCAATGATACCTATGTTTCCTCCACTTGGACCGTTGAGAACTTCGGAAATTCTTACTTTCGGAACAATCATCAGAACTCGGGAACTTTGCTCATCTTCGCTTTTCCATACGCGATGCAAGCAGCCAGACACTAACTTCAAATTATTCCATTGTGCCCAATAAGCCTTTGCGACTGGGCTTTCTGCAGCTATTTCTTCACTCGTTGGACGTTTATTCATCTCCAATCCATGTAATACACTTTTCAAATCTAGATCTTCTTGCTGCCATTTCCGTAGCTCCTCCGGATCCCAGCCTGATGTTATAGTCATTAATCGGACATCTATAATGTCTTCTTTGGCCTCAGCTTCCGAGCAATGTCTGCATTCCAAATTACATGGACGGCGGAACATGGTATCAGCATTTCCTTAACTACTACTTTTGCGATGTTCTATAGAGAAGTCGTAACTTTGGAGTCTCTCAATCCACCGTGCCAACTGTCCTTCTGGGTTCCTAAATCGTAGAAGCCATTTTAATGCTGCATGATCTGTCCTCTCCCGAAATCGCTGGCCATAAAGGTACTTATGAAAATGTTTGATGCACTTCATCAACGCTAATAATTCCCTCCGAGTAACACAATAGTTTCTTCAGAGTTTGGGAAGCCAATTCCTGTTCTTTATTCCATTCAAAAACTCATGAGTTCATGGAGGCTACTAGCTACGCTGGTAAAATTTGGAACGAATCGTCTATAATAAGTACACAGTCCAAGGAAAATCCGCAATTCATGTAAATTTTTTGGAGTGAGTCAATCTTTTCATTAGCTACGCTAATGCCCTCTGTTGTCACTTTGTAGCTTACTTCCTTCAAAAGGTAACACTTCTTTGGACTCAGCTTTAGACCCGCGCTAGCTTTCCGTTGAAAAGCCTCTTCCAAGTTCTTAAGGTGTTAATCGAAGCTTTTATCCAATACGATGATATCGTCGAGGTATATCAAACAGGTCTTCCAGTATAATCCTTTTAATACCTAGTCCATAAGTCTCTCAAAAGTAGCAGGGGCGGGAGCGGGGAAGCAGGTCGAAACCGACCTCTGCTATAGTGGACGGTTCCCTTGGGGGGGACACTTTCACCGAGGGGGACGAAATCGTCCCCGGAAAAGGGTGAGAAGGGAAATCAAGGGGGGGCCTGGCTTACCGTCACTGGGGGCGGTAAGGCAGGGGGGGTCGGCAAGAGTCTGCCGACGGTAGCCTTGGGTAGGGCGGAAGTGCGAGACGGAATCGCCAGCACTAGCAGAGGAACCTCTGCTATGTTCATGGGGACCACGGAGTCCTCGGCGAACGCTAAGGGCCCGGTGGAGAAGCGCGCTACTGCAGCTAAAAAGCTGAAGTCTGATCGTCGATTGGCTGCTAAGATTTTGAAGCGCTACGGTGGCAAGCAGGCTGATCAGAAATCTGACCAGCATGCTAGCACACTTGAGTGGGCCAAAAGGGTGATGAGCGACGTGGGCGACGGGAAAGTGGGGCCGAGCGAGCCTCACACCTCGATAAAGCGGCAGAGATCGCAGGAGGGGGAATCCTCCCTCGTCAAAAAACCATGACCATGATGAGTGGAAGCGGGTAGCGGCTGCTATCTCCGCTGTTTTCAAGAAGGTGGTCAGGGGAAGCCCTGGATGTGAAAGTGCTGGGTGGAACCTCTGCATTCACAAATTAATTAGGTGTGCCGACGAGCGGTCGGCTCTTCTTTATAAGGAAGCGGTAGCCAGGGTAGGGGAAGTGTGGAAAGGAGCAAGGCTCGAGGCGGTGGCTAAATCGGATCTCCCGATGCGGCCTCGGGCTCGAAATTGAAGAGATGTTGCGGTACTGCAATCCATCTCTTCCCACCCAAGACTGGAGGGTGATTAGGATTGAGAGAACCGAGGCACCATATCGGCAAGCGCTGATACTTCTGAACAAGGAGTCCCTCGTTCCTCTCAGTGTCACAAAGGGGGCCATAAGTTATGGCTTCGAGAGGGTCGTTCTCAAGATGCTCCCAACAGAAGCCAGGGCAGATGGACCGCTGCCCTCTCGAAAATGGGTGTCGACCCTATCCTCTCGGACGCGGTGAACACGGGGGCGGATCGTCAGGTGATGATGGATCCGTCTTCAGTCTCGAGCGTCTGTTCGAGGTGGCTGGCGTTGACGATATGGACGATGGTGCGGAACTCGCACTGCTGGAGAGGAGTTTGGAGGATGAAGATCCTCCACATTAACCTCCAGCACTCAAAGGTGGCCTTCGCCGATCTTTTGCTTCGTCTAGGAAGGGACGAAGCCGATGTTGTCCTTATCCAGGAACCGTGGCTGAGCAGCTATGGAATATCCGGACTAAGGGCAAAAAGCCATAAGCTCCTGGCGGCAAGCAGCACATGTAGAACCAGAGCCTGTCTGTTGGTCAGAAATGAACTTAACGTTTTTCTTTTACCTAATTTCAGCAACGAGGACGTCGTCACTGCTAGGCTAGAGGACAGTGCTAGAGAAATCTGGCTTGTCTTAGCCTATTTGCCGCATGACGACGAGGTGGAACCACTTCCGGGCCTGCTGGGGATGGCTATGGCAGAGGCCAGGCGCAAAGGAGCCGCGGTCCTAATAGGCTCGGATGCCAATTCATGGCACACCGTGTGGGGGAGCTCGGACACAAACGTAAGAGGTGAGTCACTTTTTGATTTTATTTGTGATGTAGATCTTTTTATCTGTAATTGGGGAAACTGCCCTACTTTTGTGACAGCCAGCAGGGCGGAAGTCCTTGACGTCACGCTAGCCTCTAGGGAAATTGCTCCCTTGAACTCGAAATGGAGAGTTCTAGACGACCACTCCTTTTCTAAATATAAATATATTGGGTTCAGCATGGCCGCCTCGCGCCCGAAGCATAGAACCTACAGAAACTTCAGGAATACCAATTGGGTCCTGTATTGCAGGAAGCTTCGGTCAGCTCTTCCAACTGCGCCTGACAGGAATTCGATCCTATCTGCGGACGTTATTGAGGAGTTCGTCGAGGTTTTCAGCTCTGTTAGTAGAACTACTCTTGAAAGCTCCTGTCCTCTGAAAACTCAGAATACTAAAGCGAAACCCCCTTGGTGGACTTCGGAGCTAACGGACATTAGATCTTCGAGTAGAAGACTCTTCAATAAAGTCCGTAAAAGTGGCTGGGCGTTGTACAAGGCCGGACTGGCCATTTACAAATCCGAGTTAAAGAAAGCCAAGAGGGCTTCGTGGAGAGCCTTCTGCGGCAGTGTAGAGGGTTGTCACGAATTCTCAAGGTTTAGACGCATTCTTGCAAAAAATCCTACTCCAGTGGGGTATCTAAGAAATGTAGATAGCGGGTGGACTACGAGTAGTGAGGAGTCGCTGAAGCTACTCCAAGATGCTCATTTTCCACTGAATCGCTCTACTGAACAAGTGCCACTGGGGGAGCTTCAGGAAGGCTGTAAAGCCTTCTTGGATCTTCTGGATGAGCGTCACCTTACCTGGGCGTTGAAATCATTTCAGCCCTTCAAGTCCCCGGGTCCCGATGGCATCATACCGGCGCAACTACAGCGTACGGTTAAGGTGTCATGTAGCTGGCTGGCCCCCATCTACGCGAACTGTGATAGATTGGGCCACGTCCCGAAGGCCTGGAGACAGGTTAAGGTTACGTTTGTTCCGAAGGCCGGTGAAGGCTCTCATGTCGGTGCTAAAGATTTCAGACCAATCAGCCTATCCTCGTTTCTGTTGAAAACGCTAGAGAGACTTATGGATCTGTACATTAGGTGCAGAATACCGAGGGGCAAACTGCTCCGGGCGCAGCATGCCTGCATCAAAGGCAGGTCGGTCGACACTGCTTTGCATGATGTAGTGTCATGGCGGGAGATAGCGCTGTTGCACAAGGAATTTGCAGTGGGCACCTTTCTCGATATCGAGTGGGCCTTCAATAACGTGCGGCCAGAGGCAGTGATTAAAGCCCTCGAAAAGTTTGAGGTGGAATCGAACCTCAAACACCTCATTTTCAGTCTTCTTTGCGACACAACTGTCGTGGCGGAGTGGGGTAGTGCCAAGTCAACCAGAAAGGTTAATAGGGGAACTCCGCAGGGAGGAGTACTCTCTCCACTGCTCTGGATCTTGGTGGTGAACGACCAACTTAAAGAACTCGAGGAGCAAGGCTGTCGGGTGAAAGCCTATGCTGATGATGTGGTTCTTATGGTTAAAGGTAAATTCCTGAATACCGCCTATGAACTCACCAAAGGGTACCAGACGTGGTATCCAACTGGGCAAACAGAAGCGGCCTAGCCGTCAACGCAAGTAAAACCGAAATGGTTTTATTCACTAGGAGATATAAGATCCCAAATGTGCCTCTCCCCTCTGTTGATAAGGTGAAATACCTAGGGCTCATCCTTGGTGTTCTGGCTCTACGAAATCGTAGTCAAGCCAATATTGTTCTATGGTTTGTTCGTCTGGTGGAGGGCGTTCGAAAAGACCACCCTGGCTAAAAAGCTTGAGCGAGTCCAAAGAGCGGCGCTCATCGGAATCTCCGGTGCACTGCGAACCACACCAACGATAGCTCTCAACGCTATATTAAATATAGCACCTGTGGACATTACCGGTAGGTGCATTGCTGCAAGGTGTACTATTAGGCTCAGGGAAGCTGGACTCTTGAAGAGGTCCGAACAAGGACTCGCCACAATTTTCTCCTCCTTCAGCTGCATTCGTGAAAATTTGGATCACTGCGTCACAGCGGCCACTCGAGGCGGCTTTTTCTCTGCTCATATACCGACGAGGGAGATGTGGAGGGAAAGAAGCCGCTGGAGAAGAAGCGCGGTGAGCTTTTTCGCGGATGGGTCGAAGCTAGGAGGGAAAGTTGGAGTGGGGGTTTTTTGTAAAGAGCTCTCCGTCAATCTTTGCGTCAGGCTACCGGACCACTGTAGCGTTTTTCAGGCGGAAGTGGCCGCGATCATGGTGGCGGTAGAAGTACTGTTACGAAGTGCAGCTTCGTTTAGAGAGGTGAGCATTCACTCCGACAACAGAACGGCAATACAAGCCCTGAGTGCGCGAACCGTGCATTCAAAGCTAGTCAAGGAGTGTCTGTCCTCACTAGAATTAGCATCAGACTACTTCAATATCAGGATCAATTTTCAAATACGCAAAAAGACTTTTTTTTTCGTCTCTCTTTATAACATTATTCTTCGTTGTCGAATTGTCAAATTTCGTCGTACTTTGCATTCGGTTCGAAACTGTGCTACGTATGTGAATTTCGGTTTCGAACAAGTATAATCGTATGTGTAGAAAATTGTACACAAAGCAAAGACCGCAATAAAGAGGTGTTAAGAAGAGTACATAAAGCGTGCGAATTCGGATTTGAACTGTGCGTAACTCGGCGAATTGGCGTTACTCTATAATGGCGCCGAAATCCAGAAAGAAGAGGACACTTGATGTATCTGACATTGATATTGATGAAGTATCAGCTCTAAAAATGGAAAATGAACTATTAAGACAGTTAAATTCAGAGCTACAGGAACGAAATAAATTACTGAACAACCTGGTGGAAAAAGGGAATTTATTAAGTGATGTAAGAATTTCATATGCTGACATTGCTAAAGGACATACTAATATTAATGAAAGAGTACCTAAAATATTAGTTAAAGCTAAAAATAATGATAATGGTGAAACTCTGAAAATAGTAAAAATGAAATTAACAAGTGATCTAACAATACCAATCAACAACGTTCGTAAAAATAATGATGGGCTTGTTTCTGTTAAATGTAAAAACACAAATGATATACAAAGAGTTAAATTGGTCTTAAGTGAAAAACTGGGTGGTGATTATTGTGTTGACTTGGAGCATCTTAATTTTCCTAAAATAAAAGTTACTAATGTGGAAAATGAATTAAACAAAGAAGAATTATGCGAGGATATATGTAATAGGAATTTCCAAGATATTGATATCTCTAATAGTATAAATAAAATAATAAACAATACTGATTATCCGGTGAAACCATCGATACCAAAGTCACTAGGTAAAATTGGAAATTGGTCTTTACAAACAACCGATGATTGATAAAGAAGTAATGCAGATTGAAGAAATTTTTACTGATTTATATAATTTAAATAATACGTTACCTAATAACAATTTCTTTATGGTTCACCTAAATGTTAGAAGCCTAAATACAAATTTCAACAAATTAGAGTTATTTATTGAACATCTTGTAATAAAACCAGATATTATTGTCTGTACGGAGACTTGGCTCCTTTCTTGTTATACTTTTTTTGAAATGAATGACTATAATATTTTCTATAATAGTAGCAAAAATAATAGAGCTGATGGCGTTGTATTATATATTAAAAAATCTTTAAAACATGATGTTGAGATAGATGAAATTGATAACGTGAAAATTATCTCAACGATAATAAAATGGAAGGGTAATAAAAATCTTAAAATATCGGGTATATATAGATGTCAAGACATTCTTAAAGAAAACTTTATAGATGCAATAACTAAATTTTTAGACGTAAACAAGCATGGGAACAATCATTTTCTAGTTGGGGATTTTAACATCAATTTATTAAATTCTGATATTGCTACAAATGAATATTTAAATAATCTATTAGATCGTGGCTATATACCATATTTCAATGGTGTAACCAGACCTAATGACTTAGGGGGTACTTGTATCGATAACATTTTTGTTAAATCAAATATTGAGAAAATCAGATCCTTTACTTATGCCAATGTTTTTACAGATCATTATCCTATTTTTGTTGCTCTGGATTTGTTCCCTATAAAGTCTATGCTTAAAGAAACCTATTTCATTAACCACAATCTTATAAAAGTAAATAGTAGTTTACATGATTGGTCCCATATGCTTGATATAAAAGATCCAGAAGTTTTTTTTAAGCTTCTAATTGAAAATATAAAGAATATTATTGATGTTTCAAGATCCAAAGTAAATAAAACTAAGAACAATAACAAACCGAGGAGTAAATGGATAACTAAAGGTATTATAAAATCATGTAAAACAAAAGAAACTTTATACAGACTATGGAACTTGGATAGAAATAATATAAAATTAAAATCTGAATATAACGCGTACTGTAAAATACTAAAGAGAGTTATAACACTTGCCAAAAATAACTACGAAAGTAAATATGTTAAAAAAATATATAGTAAAAAAATGTGGCAATACGTTAACACGAAAATAGGTAAAAAAACTAAAGCAACGCCTGTACTGGATTATCTAGTATGTAATGATGAAATCATATCCGATAACCAGGTTATTGCTGATGAGTTTATAACTTTCTTTAGTAATATTGGAGTTGAATTAGCTAATAAAATTGATAAAATATCGATTGACATAAATAAAAGTGTTAAGCATAACCCTAATAGCATGTTTCTTACTCCAACTAGTTATACTGAAATTGAAAAAATCATAAAAGAAATGAAAGATAAATCGGGTGGTGTAGACGGCATTAGCAGTAAGATTTTAAAAATTATAGCCAAAGATATTAGTATACCTTTAGAGCATATTTTCAATATTTGTATATATAAAGCTATTTGGCCCTCTGTACTTAAAAAAGCTGATATTATACCTATACATAAATCCGGGGACAAACACTTAGCAAATAACTATCGGCCTATTTCTCTAATCTCAAACCTTGCTAAAATATTCGAGAAA